TACTTGAGTTGTTTTAGAAATCAGGGATACTCTTTAAGCAAACTAAAGGCAGTGATCGCCATAGTGGGGTCGTGAAGACCACCTGAAGGGCTTCTGTGGCCTTTCCTCTGCAAGGAGACCCTGGACCCACCACCTAAGGACACTGCTGAGTGAGTGGGGCAGAGAAATACAGTGTGCTTTCATGGGGGGCGAGGGATGTTCAGGGACACTGGTTATTACCAGAGGCATGCCCATCTGTTGACAAAATGCATAAAGCTGTCACAACTTCTCCACATGTGTTTCCATTTAGAGTGATCCAGAGTTTGTGCAGTGGAAGAAAGAGTTGACAGAAACATTTACAGAGGCCCAGCGGTTATTGCGACGCGCTCCAAAGTTCCTCAACAAGTCTCGATCGGGCGTTGTTGAGCTCTCAAAGCCACCCCTCTGTCACAGGAATAGCAATGGCCTCTGACATCCAGGATGGGGAAGGTCCTGGGAAGATGGTGCCTCGAGGAAGGCCATGCCGGGTGTTCTTAGCTCTTGAAATGGAGCCTTTTGGAGAGGGATGAGAGAGGATGGATTCACTTACCTCCGGGTTCTTCCACAGCTGTGAAGACCCAGGACACTGAGATGCTCCTAATAGGAGTCGTGACCATTCTCAGGCCCGGGTTCGGCCTCCCTCCCTCGCTCCCGAGTGCCCATACCACCATCACATTTGTCCATACTCGAAACTACTGAAGAGAAGAAAATTTTTTCTTTGCTACACATTCATTTTGGTATATATGAACTTGGACTTGAGATGATTCCTACTTATCACTTCAATTTTTATGTCTGATATCAAACATATCTTAGACTCGCCAACATGGACTCTAACCATCTGCAGTGTTGGGTAATAGATCGTCCCACTGTTGCCATATTTTATCTATAAACAGCCACTGCTGAGTTTATATGTCTTTGCTCCATACTACTGGGGGATGGGAGACCAGCCATGTGTTTCTTCTGTCCTGGGGTTGAAAGCTGAAGATATTTTCTGAGAAGGTTGCACTTGGACCCTCACTGTGTGTGCTGCACCCACGGGTATGGGTCTGCCGCTGATGGGGAGCTCTCATTCAGCCAGGAACAGAGGGAGTGTGCCCTCAGAGGACGTGGGAGTCGCTCAGAAGTGAAGGCATTCAACACCAGACCGTTGGAAAGGTTTGCAGTGATTCTGAAGGAGAGGCAGTGGAGTTTTAAATTTCAGGGCAGTAGTGATTTTCAGAAATCTTCAAGTAAACAAACAGCACTTTGATATTTTTGGGCACACATGAACGTTTAGGGGTGAGTCTGTGTCGGGTTTTGACATTCGGCAATAAGCCATGGTGTGACACAGTAATTCTGGTTCTTTTTGCCTGACCTGAGAAAACATATCAGTCATAGACATGTCAAAGAAGGAAACTCTGTTGAACTTTTTAGTATAATTTAAAATGAATTTTATTGAAAAAAGAATGCTGAAGAACGAATGTGTCAAAATGGGTTAACTGTGTATATTGACTTTTACATTGTCATTTATCTGTCATTAGTAAACAGTGCTTCGCACTGGGCGGGTGGTTCTGTGACAGTGACAGCATCAGAGCATGAAGACTATTTGCTTGATCCCAGTGGCGTCCTCTCCCCATGTTGTCTTTCCCCCCGACCCTATGTGTTCCATGCCCTGTTTGTGCCCCAAATAAATGCTGGTTTATGAGAACCGGTGTGTTTCCCAGCACAGTCCTCCATGTCATCAGACTAAAAATAATAATAATTTTAAAAGTCCACTTATTTGTCCTGTTCTTAGTGCAATTTTATCATACGTTTCTAGTTCAGCTACTAACAAGGTACATAACTTGAGATAATAATTATCTGCATCCCGTTCCTAATATGTTTCGTGCTTCCAAATCTTTGTTTTTACCTCTGTGTTCTGTGTTCATTGGAAAATAAGTACTTTTTAATGAAATTTTATTTTGAGAGTCGGGAAGATAATTACCGAGTCTTTTATTTCATAGGCGTTACTTTGGAAATTTGGAGGGTCGCTATCCATCTCAGCTACTAGCTGGAGTTTAAACTAGATGTTCTACTGTCTGCCATTTCCAATATAAGAAGAGGGTATACTATCTGCACGTATTTCTGATTTTAAAAGGGAAGAAGAATCAAATTCTATTTAGGAAAGAAAACACTCACCAGAGACAGAAAAGCAGCTGTCGATAAAGAGCGAGCGTCTCCCCGGGCACGGTGAAGCCCAGCTCTCGCTGCTGCCGTTTTCTCAAGTGCGTGTGCTCAGCACTTAGAGTTTAGAAATCTGTGCCTGGTGCCTCTGCTGGGCAGACTGAAGGGCCTCGTGTGCAGAAGGCACGGGGACCCATTCAGGTTCTGGGCTAAGCATCCGACATTTCATACCGAGGGCATTAGCTTCACCGATTCGCATCTCTTTGAAAAAATACCATTTTTGCTCTGGAGTGAAACGTAGGGTTAATCTCTCTTTTAGAAATTTAGAAGTTTGTCTTAAGAAATATGAATTGGAAGACAGCCCAAGAGTCCATTTGCCTAAAACTCTTATACCCCAAGTAAACTTTTACACATTCCCCCCACCCCCGCCCAAACTCACACTCGCTGAGAAGGACGTTACAAAGATGGAGTTTATTGAAAGTGCTCCTTGATTAGGGCACACAGCTCGCCAGGGCAGTCTCGGGTGTGTTGGGTCTGGTTTGGCAGTCATGGAGAGGGCAGTCTTCTCCCTGAACTTGTGCCCGCAGCCGTCGTGATGGGCTAAGTATTCCTGTTTTCAGACGGAGTACACTTCTGTGTCAGCACCTGAGAGCCACATGGTCAGAGAAGTTTGTCGGCTTAGAAGTCTTGATGTATGTGGCTGTTTTAGGAGGTTTTAGGAGTTACATCACTGCTAGTTGTTTGACCCTTCCTATGTTTGGACCAGTAAAAAGGACAAAATTCTAGATGTATATAGTTGGGGTATTTTAACATTGTCAAAGAAGATAATCAAAGTTGATATTTTTATAAAATTATGTTATAAGTCTTGATTTCATAATTTGAAGGAATCAATAAAGCAAAGCCCAAAAATAATAGATTACTTTAAGCTGCTATAGAACATATATGGAATAAATTAAAAATTTTTGTGAATCCAAGATTATTTTTTTAACCTAAAATATTCTCTTTGGTGCATTTATCCCCTCCCGTCATTGGAGTTCATGGTTTTTTTCTTCTGTATCATGCTTAAGTATGATTTTTCAGCAAAACTTCTAGAAATTAGCTATTATTTCACTGCCAATGCAAATGTTTGACTACTCATGCCTCTGAGTGGTCAGTTCACTGACATTACAGTTTCAAATTCTCTATATAAAGAGAAAGGGCCAGAGGTCCAGGTGCACAGGAAAGGAAGCATTCTTCTGAAGAAAGACCAATAAAACAGGACAAAAGAAAGAAGGAAGGAAGGAAGGAAGGAAGGAAAAAAGGAAGGAAGGACAGACAAACAATGATTTGCTTTCAACAAGATTTAGCTTGATTTGCAGTTTGAAATATACCATACAGATATTAGAAACCGTTGTTCTAAGGCCCTCACTGGCCATTAAACAATTTCATTTACTGATTGACAGTGCAGTTTAACTAGATTTAAAAGATCAAAGTGTGTTTTTCTCTCATTTTAAAATTTAATTCAGAATTTACAATCAGGCCAGTTCAATACAATATTTAACTTTTTAGTGGAATTGATTTGATTTTTCTGATGTTTCACAATTTTAACATATCCAGAAGGAAGCAAAATTCTCAAAGTTGGACTTTTTTCACATGATGTAAATCTATTAAAAATACCTTAAATGTGCTGGTGTGAGTTAAGACTTATCTTGGGAGATTTAATCACATAATTATTTTCTCAGTTATGTTCAGGGAAGTATTTCAGTGTCATTTAGAGATGCTTGAATTAACTCCTCCCCATCCCAGGGGACGGACCTGTTGTTTGTACCAGAGGAGTTGGGCTTAATTGGAATCTGTGACAGGTGACAGCCAGGAGGTGGGTGAAGTGGGTGTCACAGAGAGACTAGTTTGAGAAATAGGTCAAAGGTAAAAAAAAAAAAATCATTACCTTTACACCATAAAGCACCCCTTTTAACAGAGGAGTTGAATAGTAATTATCGTTAGGCCTGATCACTTTATTTTTGAATATGGAGCTGCTGAATGAATTAAGAGGCTATTTGCTTTTCAACATTCTGTAGAAATGAAGTTGCTACTGCATGTCATCCAGCACCCTCGGGTTAGGCTCCCAGGACCCAGAGCTAACACCCTGTCTTGGTGCGTGTGCCTTGAAGCCATGGGGAGGGCCAGCAGTGGAATCTGGGTAGCCGGCAGTGCATCGCCCTGTCGGTCAGTTGTGGACATTGCTGCACATCCATTGAAATTGCAATAAAACTCAGAATCACAGGGCCGGGCTTGCTGTTTCCGCCATGCCCATTTCTAGAGTGAACTTTATAATAGTTTAAATTTTCAAAAAAGTTTTTCCTAAAGATCTAACATCATGTTCCCTCCAAGATAAAGTTGACTTGAAAGGTTTGAACTAATCAGATCTATGTTCATATGATTTTTTAAAAATCCAGGCCACATTTAAAATTTTTTACTATAGAAGTAACGGAAGTTGAACTAAAATGATACTCTTTGGTTTCTTCAAGTCACGATGGACTTTAGATTTCCTTTGTCCTCAAAGATTTAGAGCTGTCCCTTTATAGCAGAGCAACAGGTTGCCCACTCATAGCATCCAAAAGCCTGAATAGACGCGAATGGCCCGTTACTTTGCTGACTCGGGGGCCATGTTCCTGACGTGGCTGGATTAGTACTGATTGATAAACGCAATGCCCCACGTTTTAAATTGCTTTTATTTAAACACACTACAAAAAAATGGTATATATACATTTCATTAAAATATAGGGGAGAAACTGCATTTTAGAGTTAAAAATTCATATTCTTATAGTAAACTCTCCTGTACCTAACGGTCTCAAAATCATCTCTGAAAACTGGTAACTATGCTTCCATTTTTTATTTTATCCTAATATAAAATATAAGGGTAGGGAATGGAGAGATATTTCTAATTGTGTATTCATGTTACAAAGGACTTGAAATTGAATTTGTTTCTTAGTTGATTATGCTCCGTGATGTATATATTATACGTGGTTTATAAGCTAAACACTGGCCATTTTTAGTTCTATTGTTAAATTGTATTTTTCTATGTTTTAACAAATGATAATAGATTTGGCTTTTTCTGGGTAACATAAAGATTGCTAAGCTACATATATATATATATATATAACAAGAGTTCTATTTTAGCACAAAAGCATTTTATATTATTTATTGACTCCTTAAGTTTGTTTTCATCCAAAACATTCCTTATTATTTCTGCTCCTTTTTATTTGTATAGTTCGTTATTTAAAGAGATGGCAGTTTTTTTGTTTTTCACAAAATAAAATTGAAAGCATGCGTATAGCAACGCGGGGCATATCTCTCTTCTTACTGCCATGGACTTTTCAACAATAAATAGAGCATCCTCCGGTCTGTGCCACGAGGCTTACTCACTTTTTCGTAACATCTGACAGCGAACTCGCCGTGAAATACTGCTTTCATCTACCTCTTCCAAAGGCCTCCCAATGCTTTATTCTAGACTGGCTACATTATAAAAGAATTTCAGTAAAGCATTTCGTTGTCACTCCCTGGTGACGGCAGATTTGCTTTTAAAGCCGGAGCCTCGGGCCAGGCCCCGGCGGGCGGGCGGGGCGGTTTCCCTCCGCGGCGGGTTCCCCTAAGCAAGCCCGGTTCACCTGCACAGGGCCGTGTCCTACTCTCATGTCAAATCCCACTGTCAGTCCGGCCATCGCCTCAAGATTCGACTTCTGCGCCGATTTATCGAGTCCTTCCTGGAAAGTTCCTTCTGGGCACTCTTCTTTGCAAACGGCCAGCTGTGTTTAAGAACACCGCTTCTAGGAGTGGCATATTTGAATGTGACTTTTTTTTCCCCCTCGCTGTTTCAAGACGGTTCGGAAAACGGGGTCACAAAGGCCGATGCCCTCGTGGATGATGAAAACTTGGCGAGAAGTTTTGTTTCCGAGCAGACCGTTAAAGGTTTATGCCAAATCGAATGAGAGGGGGTCCTCCTCACGCGCCTGCGTTTTTTTCAGCCTAGTCGCAGAGACATCCGCGTAGTAACATATTTACTATATTCTTGGCGAAGTGTAATACCCTGAAAGAAATAAACCTGTTTTCTATTGTGCATTGCTATACAAAGTGAAACCAGTGAATTAGATATTGTAAATCTAGATATTGTACCTCTGAAGTTATCATTTGTTTTAGCTCTTTTCACATTGATTGTGCCAGTGGAGGTTTATAGTCCTGTCTCAGTATGCATTTACTAGTGCACGTTTGAAATAGTATCCTACTGAGATGCTGTTCCACGTCTCCGGTCACCCGCCCTGTATGTGATGTGTCACCATCGGTATCACCATCTTTTAAAGTTATTTTGGAGCACCCAGGATGGTTTTCTGTGTTGATAAATTGCTTATATAAATCTCAATAAAAAGTATCTGTACAAAAATACCTACTTTGGTGTGTGCTTATTTTCTCCCCAATTAGAAACTGTATTTATCGACCTGTTAAAACATCAAGAGGTGACTCATTTTGAAGAATCCTGACTTTGGGGAAAATCATTCAGAGGCTGATTTTATAAACAGGAAGGGGCCTGCTGACAAGCATTCCTGTCGATTTCATGGATCGTTGGAGCACAGCCAACTTCATGGTTTCAGGGTTTTGGAGACTGACTGCTTGTTCCTTCTGTAAGACACATTGCAAGGAAACAGTCTGCAAGTCCAGGCCATGAGAGAACCCAGGAGGGCCCTGATCTTCAGTTTGCCCAGGAGCTCTGTCAGGCTCCCCAACTTACGGGGGAACTTGGGGTCCCTCCCAGAAGTTGAGACCCTCTCCCTCTCCATCCTTACTCCCACAGAGACATGTTGAGAGACCCTGTGGTGCATGTCAGATTAAACCAGAAATCCAAAGAGGTGGTGACCCCAGAGACACAGCTGCACGGGTGGAACTGTCTGCGTGAATCTCCTCAGGCTGTGAGTAGGCTGGGTACTTCCTGTCCTTGAGCTGGAAGCCCCTCCTGTGTCTTACTGGTTTAAGAAAGAAGGAAGTCACAGTGGGCCAAGTAGTCATCCAGTCCCTGGAATGTATTTGTGCTTGTCAGTTTGAAAAGCATTTAAGGTGATAGCTGATGGTACATCCATGGAGTGAGCTCCTCAGGGCAGAAGTCAGCAGCATAATGCAGCTCTTGGCCTGACGTGTTATGTAACCAAGGGCTGATCCTGAGAACTGCAGAAATGCAGCCACTCTTCGCTACCCAGAAAGAGGGGCCCTTACTCCCAACAAAGTCACTTTGGGCCATCGCTGGTGCCCAGTGTTCTTATCCCTAAGGGAGTTGAGTTAGAGACCTTAAAGGACCATCCTAGCCAAAAAAACATCCTTCAAACGTCTAAGGGTAAATGGCAGGGACTTAGGCTGTATGTACTTGGAGAGCAAAAAGGAAATGCTCTCCTCCCAAGCTGCCTTATGGGTAACTGTGTTACTCTCCCTTTTTAACCATGCGTTCCTCCATGCCGAAGCCCCTCTGGTTATCCTGGGCAGGAACCATATTCTGAATTGAAGGAGAGGACTCTTAACTGCATAGCTTTCTTTCCTTGGCCACTTTTATTAGTCTGCATCCTAGAGATCGAAAAAAAAAGGTTTTCAGTCCAAATTATTCAGGCTGGCTATGTCCAGGGATCCGATTAACCAGATAAAACCGTGAGCCTTCACTTTGCAGCTTTGGAAGTACATGTAATCTAGAAAGACCATGAGAGGGGATTTACTAGTGGTTCATATTAATGGATGAGAAACGGGCGAAATGGGAGACCGAGGCAGGTAATCACGGCAAGGAGACTTTTTGCCTAACTTCTGGATATCCCAAATGACTGGCCTTTACATTTTTATTTTATTCTTTACCTTTGGTATCTGGGTATAATGCCCAGTTCTTCAGTTACCCTTCTAGGTATAGAGTGTTGATGATAGCCTATAAGTCACATCTGCCTGGAGTCGTCTTGTCTAGGAGCCGATCCAGGGCCCTCACCTCCCAGGGTGGCCTTGGGCAGGTCACTTCATTTTTTTGTGTCTGTACTCCTTGTCTCTGCAACACACACAGGTCAGTGTCTCTGCAGTGGGATGATTATACTATGCACCCCAAATCCATTGTAGGTTTCCTGAGGGTTTTATAAGGTGAAACATACAGCATGCTCAGAACAGCATGGGATCCAGTATTCATGTGTGCGGACTCACTTTTGTTTTTATTACTATTTTGAGCTGTTTGTGGATCCACAACAGTATATCATAAATTACAACTGATTGTGCCAGGTTGGGATGTCCCATCAAGTCTGCAAACTCACGCCACTGGAAGGGACTGCTTTTCATTTTCAGGAATGAAATGCAGAGTTGGAAGCCCCCTGGAGAGGGGAGAAGGGCCATGGCGTTGCCCTTCTGATGCCCTTGAGCATGCCTGTTGCTTCAGTCATGGTACAGGGCCTGGGTAAGGAAAACACTGGGTAACTGAAATATGCTTCGAAGTATAGGTCTACAGCAGTCATGCTTTGAACTGCATGTGATGCAGAGTGCGCTTGTGGTTCAAAAGTAAGCTTTGACCTTGGGTTTCTGAAGGAATTTTTGGTCACGCTGCTTTTAGACAGTTGCCTCTTCCGGGAGAAGCAGATTCAGTGTCCCCTCCAGCTAACAGAGGGGCAGTTGGCCTTACTGCTTCCTTTCTCAGCCATTCTAGCTCTTGAAATTTTCTTCACCGTTTCTATGGGGCTCCCCTTTCATATTCATGTTGTCAGGTGAGTTCACTGTGGATTGGACCCAGAAGTTGGGGTCACATCACAGACACAAGTACTGGGCGATCGGCCCTTCCTGGCTTTGTAGAGTTGCTCCGAGCATTTCACTGGGAAGTGATCTCAAGGTTCATCATCAAATTTCAGAACTGAGGGGAGAAGCAGATTCAGTGTCCCCCAGAGAGAACCAGTAATGAGTGTAAGTTACAACAGCCACACAAACAAGGAAGCATTGTGACATTCATCTTAGTTCAGGCTGCCTATAACTCTTTTTTTAGTCAGCTGGGTAAAATATGGACACATTTTAGACTTTAGCTTAAAATGGAGTGTTGAAAATCCTAGGGCGATCATGAAAAGAATAGGAATTGTGAATGACTTCCAAACTAGTAGAGAGACAAATTGAAAATGAGAAAGGAAAACTATCTAAAGGTAAGTGAGGAAGGAGGTTATAAGTATCTGACTCTTGTTCATTTAAAAATACATAGAGTTCAGATAAGCCCAGGAAACTGGGAGATTTGTAATATGTATGACCAATACATATTACATATTAATCTGCATAACATATGAAGAATTCTCACACGTAACAAGAAATGAGATCATCCAACAGAAAAATGGGTGAAAGACACGAAAAGACAATTCATAGGAAAGGAAATATACATGGCCTAGAAACACACAAAAAAATACACGTTATTAGTGATCAGGGAACTGCAAACTACTGATTTCCATTTCAAAAACAAAACATTTAAATGAAAAGTCTCATTTTCAAGTGCTGGTGAAAATATGGCATGACTGTGCCAGTAGTGTGCTCATTGCCATGACCTTTTTGAAAACAATTTGATGTTTTCTAAAAAATGTAAGCATGGTGCATGCCCCACAATATATGACTTCTACTCCTAGTTATATATGTACGCTCTCAAGGAAACTCTTACACAAGTATGCCAGGAGACGTGTCCATGAGTATTCATTGCAGCCTTGGTTGTGTGTAGTAACAGGCAAAAATTATGAATGAAATAGAAGTCGTCAGCAGTAGAATGGATAAATGCAGCATATTCCTACTACCGAATTCCACACAGCAGTGCAAACACATAAACCGCAGGTTCGTGCACCAACGTCAAAGCATAATGTTGAGTGAATGAAGAGCAAGCCTCAAAATATCATGTATAGTCTGATTCCGTTTATGCAAAGTTCAGTATACACAAGCTAACGAATAGTCATTTAGGTATATCATTCTATATAGATGATAAATCTGAAAGAAAAGAACAATGAATGAAAGATTCAGAAAAGTAATTACTTCTGAGGGAAAGGAAGGGTTTTTGAGAGCATTCGTGCTATATTGTATTTCTCATAGCCCATACGTAATTCTGTGTGTATTCCTGTATGTGTGTGACACATTCGACCTTTTTTTTTTCCTGTACAAGAAGTCAAATGTACTATTTTGAGAACATTTGTAGTAGTTTATTTTAAGATTCTTTTAGGGACGATGCAGTGACTACATGGGCCCCAGCAGGACCTGCTCCTCCACTAGGCCTATACTCAGGGTGAAGTCACGTCATAGCCCAGCTGGGGACATGCTGGGCCTGATACGGGAGGAAAGGAATTACACCCCAGTGTTGCTGGTGAAATGATTCCTAAGAGAGCAGCAATATCATGTTCGAATGACTGTGGGCTTTAGAGTTGGAAAGACCTGGATTTGAGTCCTGACCCCGCTTCCTCAGCTGTGTGGACCTGCGTGATATACTTAACCTGTTGAAGTCCCCGCACTTCTCCTTCTAGGCAGTGAACGAAGCACTATTTACGGCATCCTGTTTGGTGTGGTGTGTAAGACTGTACCCTCTGGGGCCAGCACTGCCAGGGTTCAAACCCTGACTCTCTACTCACTTGGGGCAAGTTGGTTAACCATTCTGTGCCTCAGTTTCCCCATCCATCAAACGAGCGTGTGGGGAACCCCTACCTCCTAGGGTTGTAGGGAATAGTCAATGAGTCCATTAAAGCCCTCAGGTTGGTGTCTGGTGTGTGATAACCTCTGCCTACTCGTCGGGCATGTTTCTATGCACAGACGGTTTACTAAGAGGCCACAGCATTAGCTCATGTTATTTCCTTCCGGAGTCCAGCTAAAACGGAGAGCAGGACTCTCTCCTCGTCCAGTTCCCATGGCCTTCTGTTATCTGTGTGGGGCCGAGGCAGGAGTGTGGGTGTGTGGCCTGCCTAGGACAGGGATGACGGGTGAGAATGTGCTTGCGTCGGGAGCTGTCCCCTCCCCTGCTCTGTGCCACCAAATATGTCCATGCTCTCTGATGCCTGGTCAACAGCCACCCCAGCCTGCCGTCTCCTGGCCAGACCTGGAGCTCACCGGCTAATTTTAGAAATGACTTGTCGACTCAGCTGCTGCTATCACATTGGAGCAGAGGGAGGGCGAGGGGAGGACGAGGAGGAGAAGTCAGGGAAGGGGATGTGTGTGAGACGGTGGGGAGGGGTGCCTCTGACATTTGTCCTTCGTCCCTGCTCTGTCGGCTCGCTGGGGTCTCTGTACTGCCACCTGGGGAGACCTCTCGGGTTCCCGTGACCTGTGGCCGCGTGTGGAGAAGGTACTGTAGGGCTGGGTTTTACGACGGGCGTCCTGCAAGCTGATCGGCAAGGTTTAATCTTCCAGAATGCGCTTCGAGGGGCTGCGGTGGCAGGCCT